GACAAAGTGACCATTACGCGCCCAGCAGATCTTCCAGCAATCACAGGAATATTGACCATGACCCCCACGTGGGCTTAGGTCTCCCCTGTCACTCACTGCACATCTTTCAACAGAGCTGGCCTGCAAACGGAAGACAAATTCATACCTTATCGCAAAAGACAAAAGTAGCGTGTTACTGCTTTGAAGGAGCAGGAGAAACTCCTGTTTGTTTCTGAATCTGAGAAATTAGAGAGGAAACGGTCTTTTCCTTATTTTTGAACATCTGACTTTGCAGTCCTTATTTTTGGATATGATTCCTTACACTTTAAAGGATGCGGTCTAGTACCAACTGCACATAAAAGTCACGTTCCTAAAATTTCACGACTGCGGGTAGTAGGTTAAACACTATAAACACAAACAAACAATTGGGATTAAACACATTTGCTCAAGGCCAAATCCTACTTAGAAGCTTCTCTACTGAATTTCCAGGCGCACTAGTGAGATAGCCAGGGTACGCGCGGAGATTACTGCACTAATCTAATGGGGATTTTATAAAACGGATTGTACTAGAAAAGATAAATGAAAGTAGCATTCAAGTGCCTACATATGCAGTATTCACAGCAGAGCATCATCCACCATGGGGTAGGTTCCTAACACTCTGTGTGACTCCAGTATTTCCCATACGTATTTCAGAGCAAGTTCCCCTGCTTCCACCTGCTCTACGTCATAAACTCTCCTTCCTTGCAACAGTTCTCAATAGTATTAGAGGTGCACTTTCACAGACAAACAGGAGAACATTGACCTGTTCAGTAGCAATCCTTCCTCTATAAGGGGATTTATAGGAAAAACTGAAACAGTCTCATCTGCACTATGTTGTTATGCACATATCCATCAGCTCAGAAACTGGAAAAAAAGATCTTACAATGAAACTAAATCTTTGGGAATTAAGTTCTAATCTTGCTGTATTTTTTTAACGCAGCATGTGCTGTGCTCAGAAGATGACAGAGATGGTTGGCATATACTTCCTGTGTGTCAAACTGTTTAACTACAACATCAAAAAGTCTTGAGGGGGGAATTCAGCAACACACACAGACACTGGAAGTGAAATGATGTGCAAACAATTAATACTGGCAGACTTTGAAGGACAGACCAGGCTTTTGTGCAGGAGGGAGAAGACAAAATATAAGTAAATTTAACCAAATTACTCGAAATGTCTCTTATTGCAATTCCTTACAGCAAGGACTACTATGAAATTAAGCACAAGAACACACTCTTTATCACACGCCACGTAGCAGCTGGAAGGCCAAGATAATGCATGGAAAAAGGCTCTTCTATTTATACTGTTAGACTTTACGATAATTTATAGTCTTGCTTTTTACAATTGCCAAAGATGGCTCTGAAGAAAAAACCCTCTAAAAGTTCTAGAGAGAACAGAATTTACTATTGCTTTTATTTTGAATGCAGGCAAACTGCTTTGCAAAAAAAAATCCTAATCTTCCT